GAGTATGAGAAAATGCACATCCATATTATTTGTTTTCTATGCCCCATGGATTCACAAAGCCAGTCGCCAACTATGAGAATGAACCTTCAGCTAGAACAAGGGAAAACATATTGCCTCATTCTCAATTATTGGTGCACCGCAGCGTTGATCTTTTAATCACCAAATGGAGATGAACCTTCAGCAAGAATAAGAGGAAGTACTTAGGCACATCCTTTGTCTTCTTACCTCTCTTTTCTGAATAGGAACGAACCCTCAGCAAGAACATGGGGAAATACATTAACATATTCCTTATCATTTTACCTCTCGTTTGGATGCATCTCGTTTCCTCTGCAGATTTAGATTTGTCCCCCCCCACTCTTTCTCTCTTTCTGGCTCGGTCACACACGCGGATGCATGTTCACACTGTGCACTGTCTATCTGTCACTGAGTCCTTCACTCTCTCTCTCCCCTCTCTCTCTCACTCACTCATTCTGTGCACTCACTCACTCACTCACTCTCAGCACACTCTCTCTCTCTCCATGCACTCTCTCTCTCACTCTCTCATTTTGCGCACTCACTCACTCACTCTATGCGCACTCTCTCTCTCTCTCCATGCACTCTCTCTCTCACTCTCTCTCCCCACCCACTCCGCGGGTTAGTTTGGCCCTGGTCGTTTGCTCGCTGGTTCAAGCTCAGAACTGCCCATTCGAGATGAAAACGAGCCAAGCATCGCCAAAAAAAAGAAGGAAACTTTTGCGTCATTCACATAGGCCGGAAGAACAACAACTACAACAAGAAAAGTAATATATATACTTATATATGTAAAATAAAAAAAATAAAATTGTTTGCAGATCAGCGGAACTGACCGATCCCGCCAGCAGCGGGGATTCGCCTGATTGGTTGAACTATGAAACCGTCCGCTCCTCCTAGAAGTGGGAGTACTTGATCGCGCTGTTCAGTGAAATTGCCTGTTCCCGCCAACAGAGGGAGTACTTGGTTGGCTGATTAGTGAGAGTTGCTGTTCCCGCCTGCAGCGGGAATACTTGATTAGCCCGAATCAGCGAAACTGCCAGTTTCCGCCTGCAAAGGGAATTCTTGATTGATCTGTATCAGCAAAACCGGTCATTCCCGTCAGCAGCGGGAATGCTTAATTGGTCTGATTCAGCAAAACTGCCTGTTTCCTCTTGGAGTAGGAATACTTGATTAGCCTAAATCAGCAAAAATGGTTGTTCCGACCACCAGGGGGAATATTTGGTGGGTCAGATACAACTGTACGGCCTGCTCCCGCCTGCGGCAGGATCGTCTAATCTGATATTCTCCGATGAGCTCCGTCCCCGCCACCGGCGCACCGGCGGGATGATTACACCGAAGATGGTGATCGCTGCTCTCGCCTGCAGCGGGATGATCACACTGAAGACGGTCGTCCCCCCCAACAGTGGGATCGTTAGATATGATATTCACCAATGAGTCTCGTTCCCGCCAGCAGCGGCGGCTCTTAGTCAGTGGTGACAATGGTAATCTCTGTTTCTCACGGTAATGGTCCTCCTCCTAGTGAAACTAGCGCCCTGCACACATGGCACACTGCCAGAATCCCTTTCTCCTCACACCATCTCCTCCGTTTTGCCCGAATGCGCAGATGCCGCAGCGTACCCCTTGCGCTCGTGAGATCCGCGTTGACTTCCTCAGTATCTGTGACGTGGGGGGGCTACACCTTGCATGTCGCGAGGGACTACCCCGTCTCCATCTCCTGTAACCGCTTGCGCACTGCTCCTCGTTGACATTATCAGCATGAGCGACGTGGGCGAGGTACACCTTGCATGCCGTGAGGGACTGCCCCCGTCTCCATCTTCGGTAACCGTCTGTGCACTGTTCGCCGTTGACATCATCAGTATAAGCGACGTGGGCGGGGTACACCTTGCATGCCGCGAGGGACTGCCCCCGTCTCCATCTCCTGTAACCACCTGTGCACTGCTCCCCGTTGACATCATCAGTATAAGCGACGTGGGCGGGGTACACCTAGCATGCTGCGAGAGACTGCCCCCGTCTGAATGTCCTACCAGACCAGTTGATCCTCGTTATATCCTCCTTGTACCAGAGGTCGTGGCCTCAAGAGACTGCCAGTTTACCCCGCATTGGCAAAAGCAGGCCCGGTACCAGGTCTGTGTGGCCTGCATTGGGAAAAATGGGCCAGGCACCAAACCCAGTCAGATCTGTATCAGCAAAAATATGTCGGGTAGATTCGTATAGGAGGTCTCGTACCAGGGGAAAATCCACGGGACTGCTACAAACGGCCAGTGTCGAGCCAGAGTAAAGCGGAATGAACAAAGTCAAGTTGCAGTGTCTCTTATCATACCAGTTATCGGGCTTGAAAAGAAAAGGCACAGGCCATAGTACGTTGCCGCAGTACCTTGCCTCCACCGTACCATTGGTCAATCTGCAGTGGTACCGTCCTCGAACTTGTCTAGAATCAGTGTACCGTACCAAACTTGAACCAGAGTGACCAGACCGTCATTGAGCCAAATCCGTATCACTAATCATCACCAAGCTAGAGTAGTACAGCACCAAATGGTAGCAACAGGCTGCTGTGAGTCTCATCAATGTCAAACCAGTGACCGTATCAAAGCAAAAGTACCAAACCGCGGAATTCTGTCTCGGCGCCAAACCAGTGATCACACAAAGTAGTAGTGACGCGGAGCTGCAACCCGATGTCGACATTGAACTAAAACCGAATACGAGACACATATCGAGCAGTGTCGTGCCAACGCCGAATCAACACCGAACCTGAGGCAACTGTCCCGAACTGCAGTGGGCTGTACCGTACGGACGCCGAGTTATTACCGAACCTGAAACATGTCGTTGTCGAGCCAATATCGGGCGTGATATCGAAGCAATAGTCGGACAAAGGTAGCACCAACCCCCACTGACCATGCGGCCCCGCTCTCTCGAAACAAACCAACTACGGCAAGGCTAGTAACCAGATATATCAGGTAAGTCACGTGAGCTATCTCAATTATCGGAGAATAGGGAGGATCGTTAAATTAGGGTAAATAAATAATCCGGCCCCAAACCCATCACGAATAATTTAAACATAATTTAATCAAATATTAAATAATCATTAATTTTTTTCCCTTTCAATCATTTTTAATTATTTTTTTAATTTCTTAATTCGACCATAAAAAATAATAAAAATAAAAATATTTCCAACAAAAATGAATTTCTATGGAATTTAATTAAATAACAATGTTTTTTTTGTTTTCTTCTTCTTTTATTGTTTTTGATCCCTTGCCCTATTTTTGATTTTATTACTGGAAATAACAAATAACAACAGTGATTCCATTAAAATTAAATACCGAGGAAATTTAATAAAATAAAGAATATCCCGTTTTTCTCTTCGCTTCTATTGTTCTTAAATCCTTTTCCCATTTTTAATTCTGGTTTTAAAATTAATGAAATCGGAGGCTCCATTCCCGCTCCGATTGTGGAAAGTAAAACGGTCATGCCTAGGCCTACTCCCGTATTCCCATCCCGCGGCTAGCTGCTTCGGGAATAGACTCGAAGCAAGCGGAAGAGAGGTGGGGCACAGCGTGGTAGAAGCGGTAACTCCCCTCGTTAATTTGAGGGTTACTCTCAGTGGTCAGCACAATCAAAATTAGGGGTACTCTGGATACCCCTAATTTTCCCCATCAGGCCAAACAAGAGTACCGTCAAAATACGGTCTAGTCATCGGGTCGAAGACTCAAAACCGCTGATTTCGGGTGGCCCACTGCCTGTGGCCGCCCGACAGCTAGCCCGGACCTCTTTTCGACGCCCCCGTCGAGCCCTCAACTTGCACAAACTCAAATTAAACCTCCGAGCGACAGCCCGGACCCATTTAGAGTTGTTCCGGAGGGCTGCAACCCCTAGTCAGCAGTATCTAAGGGAAGAAGTGGGTGGTAGGGCCACAATCCCTGATGGAAAAATCAAAATTTGTGTCTATAGGTGCACGTTAAAAAGAGAATTTTTTCTGACGAAATATTTTTTTTTAATTAACGATTAATAAAAAAAAAAATTAATAAACAAATGTTTAATTACTGTGTTTCTAAGAGTGCACGTCGCCGGTTTTGTGCGAGAAAGGTGATAAAAATTCGGTAAAATCCTTCTGAACAAACACCCCCCCGGCGAGCGCTGCTAAAAACCGCTCTGATTGTGGAGTGTGCAAAATCGTGCAGATCCTCGCTCGTTTAGCGTAACGAGGGTCAATTCGGCCCCGTTCCACGTCGATGAAAGTTGTAGCCTTATCTCAAGTCTTGAGTACCTTTAGTACTCGTTCTCTCTCTTGCGGGGTTAAGTTCCCATCGTCGATATCCATCCCTGCTATCCTATCCTCTATTAAACGCTGCGGCTCTTTTTTTTTCCCTTTCCTTAATCTCTTTGGCGATCTCCTCTTCAGATGTTCCTTCTAACGCAGATCGCTCTCGACGTACCGCAGCAGGTTTAACTTTCTGAGCTACTCACTTGTGGTGTTTGGGTTGCTCCGCGTAGGGGGGTTGTGCCCTTAAAAAAGACACAGATATCACGCTGCCGAATTCCTCATCTGCCTCCTTTGGATACGAGTTGTCGTCCACTATCAACCGACTCCCTAAATCTTCCACTTCTACAATCTGACCTTCTTCTTTTGTGAGCAGAGGTCCATACTTCTTCTCGTGAAATCGCACCGCGCGGCCGGAGATAGGTAATGACTTAATCCGATCACTGGGTCCCGCACCCACAGCGAGAGTTGCTTTGTTCCTCGGGTCCCGAGGCTCCACCATCTCAATCACAACCCGCGTCCCATCTAGCTTCTTAATGGACAGTGTCTGGCTCCCGTCCGGTCGCTTTATCGTCACCGCATGCACATGGCTCAACCACGTCTGTCCCAAGAGCAGGTATGAGCTGCAGTTCTTAACAGCAAAGACCGGCAGGGGCACTCGTACCCCTTGGACCTCTATGGCTGCCTTGTGACAAACTTTTGTGATCTGTTGCTTTCTCCCATCAGCCGTCTCTATCTCGAATAAGTATGACCTATCGAGTGCCAGTCCAACTTGCTCTGCCAGATCCTCGTCTATAATGACAACCTCACTGTCGTTATCGATCACAGCATTTAGTACCGCTCCGTCGTACGGTCCCACTACCGAGTATGTAAAGCTTGTCTGGAGGCACACCTTCCATCCCATCGAGAAGAACTGTCGCCATGCGATCTGTTCTAGCAGTTACCTCCGATACTGCTACAATAGGGGCATACGCCTTAGGGGTCACCCGAGCCCCCTCTGATAGAGGTATGCGAGTCTTCCGCGTGATCATCTGTAACTCGTCGCGAGCCGGCTTGGATGCTGCCAGGTATTCCAGAATAGAGCACTGCATGGGCTGCCGAAGGGTCCGTCTCAGTGGCTCGACCGTGTCAATCTCATCCAGCGAACTCTTCATCAAGAACTTCTTCACTCCCCGCTTTCGCGGTGAAAGAATAACCTCTTCTCCATCCATCCGCTGTCCGTCCTTCTCCGCCATCACGTAATCCGTGTCAATCTTCCTCGATGTAGACCCTCTCGCCGACTTGGTAGCTGCCACCCTTATGGGTGTGGTTGCCATATCTCCTTCGAAAGTTATCTTGATGCTCTGGCTCCTAACCGGCTCCTTTCCTTCACTAGACCTTACTCTCCTTGCTTCTACATTCTCCTTCATCAAAGGGAACATTGCTACGTCTCCCAGATCATCTGCCCACTTGACGTACTTGCGGTCATCAAGCACGACAAGTCCCTCATCCATTGCCCGTTTGAGATCCGAGCAGTCTCTCTTGATATGATCATATCCTCTACAGTAGACGCAAGAGTTCCTGGGAGTGGGTGGCTTGTCGTCTGCACTCCTAGAGGTCGAACCCCTGGCTGCTCTGGGGTCAGGGGATTTTGGATACGGATCAGACGATGCGCCATGTTCCCCTCTCTCATTTCGTCCGCGCGAATCATTGCGGCGGTGTTCTCCAGATCCTCCTTGCTCATATCGTCCCCGTGAGTCATTCCGGCGGTCTCCATGGTCGTATCGCCCATGTGACTCATCGCGTTGGTCTCCTCAGTCGTACCACCCCCGCGAATCGTCGCGTTGTGCCCTCGCGTATCCCCCATGGTCATACCGTCCGCGCGAGTCATCTCATCGGTCTCCGTCTCGATTTCCTCTCTCATACCTGGCACCCCTGTATCCATCTCGGTCCGACCTCTCATATCTGTCGTCCCTGTATCCGTCTCGTCGGCCTTGATCTGACTCCCACCTACCTTGAGAGTTGCCTTTACCCCCATCAGTCTCATAACGAGGGTTACGCGAGTAATCATCCAGCCTCCTAGCTCGTCCATACGTCTCGCGAGTTCTGCGGTCTTGGTCTATCTCATCATCCCTACGTCGCCATGGCTCATCGTCTCTCTCCCTTTCCCTCGCACGATAATCAGTTAGCGTTCGAGGATTTCTATCCTCGACACTCCTCCAGGAATCGGTGTTCCTACGGTCCCAGCGAAGTGAATAGGGCCCTCCGGGTTTGTCCCGGTAAGTCGTGGTTCCTGTGTTGGTCACAATCTCTGTAACCTGTCTTGTCAATCCCTTTACCATGTCCCTTATCTCCTTCACTTCCTCGGCCACGGCATCATTCTTTTCCGACCAGGGATAGTCCTTGAAATCAGGACATCTATCAATGGCATACTCCTTATAGAGAGAGAAATCACGCCTCGGCATTCCTCTCCATACCAAGTCCTTGTAGCCATCTGCCTCTACCTTTATCGCGAGCTTTAGGACTTCGAGGAAGTCAAGCTTGTCGCGCGGGAGATCTCTAAGTATACTATTTTGTCTGCCTTTGGACAGGTGTCCAATGAAGATAGTACATCGCTCGACCTCTGAGATCTTCCCCTTGTTCATCAGCACGTCAGAGATCTTCTGGAAACGCTTCCCAAATGCCCGTACGTTCTCATCCTCATCTTGAGTCATAGTCTCAAGGTCCTTGATGAAGTACTTGTTATCCTCTAATTTATAAAGCTCAACGAGGTTCTTCTTATACGTAGTCCATTTCCCATTCTTTGGTCGGGTTTCTTTAACTTCCTTGCCGAGACTTGGATCTATATTAAATAGGAAGTTCTCTATAATCTCTTCCTCCGACCACTGACTCCGGCTGGCATGAAGCTCCCACTTCTCCAGATATTTTGTGATACCATAGCCCCTGAAGGTAGGAGGCTCAGAGGCCTTGTGCGTAATAATATAGCAATCCTTGCTCTCGTAAGGAAGCGGATGTGACTCCCCCGTCTGGGGTCGAAGACACGCCGGGGCGGTGCTCTATCCCTGTCTCTGTCCCTCCAATAGGAATCTCGTGAACTCTCTCTCCAGTCGTCCCCGCGCCTATCCGCCCTGGTTTCCCTCCGTTCATACTCGGGTGAGCGTCGTGTCGTCGCTCCTCGTAGAGCGCTCGAGGTCCCCGTCTTCAAAGCCTCCTCTGGCTCCGTCACGATCAGCTCGCCCATTACGTCGGGTTCTCCGTCATTGGCTTGGTCAACCCATCTCATCGGTGCTCCCTGCCTAATTCGTTCCTTCAGATCCCTTAGTGCTCGATCGGGCGATGTCCTGTACTCCTCACCTGCCTCGCCCGTGGTCGGTTGTGGCCCCATCGTGTCTGGTTCCATCGGCTACCAGAGGTTGTAGTTGGGCACTCACGCCAGGCGTTACAGCCCGGACCTATGACAGTTCCAGCAGCCCGGACCTGTGACAGAACTCGCAGCCCGGACCTGTGACAGAACTCGCAGCCCGGACCTGTTTGTGAACACTCTCTTATGTCCGAACATCTACGCTAGGGACTTCTTCAGTTGAGGCATTAGGCTGGTTTGAAATTAGAGCTTACGGGCGACAGCCCGGACCCATTTTGAGTTGTTCGGGAAAACCCTAGTTAGTTGAGCCCAAGAGAAGACGTGGGCGGGAGGGCCGCAACCCTGATCAGCGGCACTCTGCAGTATGCAAAAAGCTTAGTGAGAAGGGTGGGCGGGATGGGGGAACACCTCTAACAGCAAACTGTCGTATGAGAAAAGGAAGACTCATAATAGACAAAAATAGGGATGTGAGAAGTACAAAAGGGATTAAGAAGGAGGCGTGATGACAACCTAACTGGGACTTTTCCGCAGATCAACCGAGCTCTTGCGGATCAGAAAAGGAAATGGTGTTGAAATCCCGGTTTCGGATTGGCCTATAGGCCTTATATTCGAGTCCCCTCGAATATAAGGCGTGGGCTCAACTCGAGAGAGTTCTGTTTACTGCACCCTCGAGTAGTTATCCGAGCAACGGACCCTGTCCTCTAGTGAAAAACCCAAAATTAAGAGCCGAGCGTACTCACTCTTTGAAATTTTAAGTCTATTTCATAATTTTGAGGGATTTTTAATCATTTAAATTAATAAAAATTGCCTATAACCGAGAAGAAAGCACTACCTTCCGCTCAGCGCATAGGGGGATGTAATGAAAACCCTAGCGAGTCGCGAGGTACGCACGTGCTCCCTTCTACCCCTTGCTTTTGATTTAATCCGAATATTTGTCAAACAATTATAAAAAAAAAACTTCAATAACTGAAAATTCCCGTCACTTGCCTCAGGCCTTCGGGAACAAGCCAGAAGCTTTACCCGAACCCAGGTTACTGCAGCGTATCTTTCCCTTCTTCTTCTAGGGAATTCTTTTGTATTTTTTAATTATAAAATTTAAAAAAATGTATTTAGTTAGGATAAAATCTCTTTCTTAGTTTATATATACTAAGGATCAATACATATATAAGCCCACCGCGTTTGAAGATTTTTAGGGGTAGAAATAAAATTTGGGGAATTTACTAAAATTTCGGCAGCGTTTCGCCTCCCCAGGGCGAAGCCCTCAAACAGCGCTGCCAAAGGGGGAATATCAAAAGGAGTAATGAAAAAAAAGGTAAAATTGATTTAACTTGATTTTTAATTACTTTTGTTAATTAATTTGCAAAAAATTAAATTAAAAGGAAAATTTTGAGAAATTTCGACAGCAGTTTTCCTTCCCCCCCGTGGGATGGGGTTCGGAAAAAAATCCCTCAAATAGGTAAAGTAGATATGAAGTGCATTGAAGTCAAACAAATGCCCCTACACAATTTAATATTTATTTCAATTTTTATCGATTTTAAATAACAAAATCAAAAGTAAAATAATTTTTAATTATTTAATGGAGCAAAACTTCCCGAATTAATGTCCACAATTTTGCGGGATATATTTAACAAAAAAAAAACAATTCGCAACGAACGCGGAAGCTAGAAGCTATGGCTTTCCTCTATTTACCCGCTTTTCTCAAAATTGGGGTTAGGACTTTACCCTTCCCCCTAATTAGGGATTTGGGTTTTGGGAGCAACCGCGCGCACACCGCAAAGCCCTGCTCGACGCGAGAAAATTTTTCTTAGCTTTCACTAGTTTTAGAAGAAAAACTTATCGGATTACATTTTTAAATTTCTTTTTTTTTTAATTTAAACAAAATTACAAAAAAAAATAATTTTTCGTTGATTTCCTTCCACCTTTTCTATCTATTGGAGCTCGGCGTTTGCTCAAACAAAGTTCGTCTTTCCCGACTAGGGTCCCAAAATGTCGGGAAAAATAGAAGGACCAACTTTGGTCCGGGCGGGGTTCATCTAATTCCGTTTTTTTTCTTCGCAATAAAAATAAAACGAAACTCGTGATTTTTAGAATTTTTAATCAGAAAAATACAAAAAATTTCATATCTCTTCTTCTAGCCGTTAGAATTTTTCAAAAAATGTCTCAAAACGTTTGCCTTGACGAGAGGACGAACTTTGCTCCCAGTCAGCGTTGTCACGCGGGGATCCCCGGGGCCCAAGCCGGGGTAGGGGTTTCAACCCCGGACCCCCGCCGCGGGGCTACCTGACCCCCGCCCCCGCAAAAACAACCCCGGCCCTGCCCCAACCCCGCC